AAGATAAGGGCGTGGACTTCTAACTGGTCAGAATTTCTGCTTTCTCTTTTCTTACTCAGAAAGCTCTACTAAGCATTTATCACAGACTCAGAGAGTCAGATTTGTGACTGTTGCCTCCCAACCAGACTGTGAGAGCCTGCGGCATTTTATCTTTCTGGCCAATTGCATACAGGAGAGTACAATGATGCCTGCTGAATTAATGGACAACTGATAAGAACAGCAAACATTTGGAAGTGCCAGCTGCTGGGCTGGGTACTTTATGAAAGATGATCTCATTCAGTTCCTATTATAACAGAGTACTTGGGAGGAATCTCTAGCCCCATTTTACACATAAGAAACTGAGACTCAGAAAGGTCACGTTATGGCCGGGTGCGGTGGCTCACCCCTGTAATCTCAGCACTTTGAGAGACTGAGGCAGGCAGATCACCTGAGGTTGGGAGTTCGAGATCAGCCTGACCAACATGGAGAAAGCTTGTCTCTACTAAAATAGAAAATTAGCCTGGCATGGTGGCGCATGCCTGTAATCCCAGCTACTCAGAAGGCTGAGGCAGAAGAATTGCTTGAATCTGGGAGATAGAGGTTGCAGTGAGCCAAGATATCACACCATTGCACTCCAGCCTGGGCAACAAGAGCAAAACTCTGTCTCAAAAAAAAAAAAAAAGAAAAGAAAGTGTGCAGAGAAGGGGCTGCTTTGCTCACCTCTGCCCTGATTGAATGGGCCCTTGTAGGGAGGTATGGTTTCTAAGTTCCATTCCATTTCAACCAGCCCAAGGGCCACTCATGGTATGATCTGCTTGATGTTGGCTGTGCCAAAATACTTTACTGAAGTGTGCTCACAAGGAGCAGGTCATCCAGTGAAATCTGGAATTGCTTAGGCTGGAGTGCAGTAGCATGATCTCAGCTCACTACACCTTCGACCTCTGGACTCAAGTGATCCTCCTGCCTCAGCCTCCCAAGTAGCTTAGACTACAGGCACAGACCTGACTAATTTTTGATTTTTTCTTTTCTTAAAGATGGGGTTTCACCATGATGGTCAGGCTGGTCTTGAACTCCTGACCTCAGGTGATCCACCCACCTCAGCCTCCCAAAGTGCTAGGATTACAGGCATGAGCCACCGCGCCCAGCCTGAATTTTTTTTTTTTTTTTTTTTTTTTTTTGAGAAAGAATCTCACTCTGTTGCCCAGGCTGGAGTGCAGTGGGTGATCTCCACTCACTGCAACCTCAACCCACCCCCGGGTTCAAGCGATTCTCCTGCCTCAGCCTCCTGAGTAGCTGGGGTTACAGGTACGTGGCACCATGCTAGGCTAATTGTTCTATTTTTAGCAGAGATGGGGTTGCACCGTGTTGTCCAGGCTGGTCTTGAATTCCTGACCTCAACTGATCCACCTGCCTTGGCCTCCCAAAGTGCCGGGATTTCAGGCATAAGCCACCGTGCCCAGCTAATTTTTTATTCTTTTTGTAGAGATGAGGCCTCCCTATGTTGCCCAGGCTGGTGTTGAACCTCTAGGCTCAAGTGATTTGCCCACCTCAGCTTCCCAGTGTTGGAATTATAGGCATGAGCCACTGCACCTCAGCCCCATTGTTTTCTTAACAACTTTATTGAGATATAATACATCTAGCATATAATTCACCCATTTAAAACATAGAATTCAACAGTTTAGGATATTCACAAACATGTGCAACCATCACCACAGTCCATTTTAGAACATTTTCTTTACTGCAAAGAGAAACCTGATATCCTTTGGGTGACAGGAGAGAGACTGCTATTCTCTCAGGCCTAAGCAACCATTAATTAACTTTCCTTCTGTATAGATTTGCCAATTCTGGATATACAACAGGTGGTCTTGTGTGACTGGCTTCTTTCACTCACCATAATATGTTCAAGGTTCATCCATTCTTTTTTAACCGAGTCTCGCACCGTCACCCAGGTTGGAGTGCAATGGAGTGATCTTAGCTTACTGCAACCTCCATCTCCTGGGTTCAAGTGATTCTCCTGCCTCGGCCTCCTGAGTAGCTGGGACTACAGGCACCCGCCACCAAGCCGGGCTAATTTTTGTATTTTTAGTAGAGACAGGGTTTCACCATATTGGCCAGGCTGGTCTCCAACTCCTGATCTTTTGATCTGCCTGCCTCAGCCTCCCAAAGTGCTGGGATTATAGGTGTGAGCCACCATGCCCGGACTTCATTTCTTTTTATGGATTAATATTTCTATTGTATAGATACATCACTTGAAAATTTTTTTTAATTTTTAAATTATATATTATTTTTTATAGAGATGGGGTTTCACTATGTTGGCCAGGCTGGTCTCGAACTTCTGACCTTAGGTGATCTGCCCACCTCAGCTTCCCAAAGTGCTGGGATAACAGACATGAGCCACCATGCCCAGCCTTCATTTCTTTTTATGGATTAATATTTCTATTGTATAAATACATCACTTTAAATTTTTTTTTAATTTATAAATTATTATTATTTTTTATAGAGACAGGGTTTCACCATGTTGGCCAGGCTGGTCTCAAACTCCTGACCTTAGGTGACCCACCCACCTCAGCCTCCCAAAGTGCTGGGTTTACAGGCGTGAACTATCACGCCTGGCTTTTTTTTTTTTTTTTTTTTTTTCCCTGAGACAGTCTTGCCCTGTCTCCCAGGCTGGGGTGCAGTGGTGCAATCTCGGCTCACTGCAACCTCCACCCCTGGGGTTCAAGTGATTCTTGGGTCTCAGCCTCCTGAGTAGCTGGGGTTACATGTGTGTACCACCACACCTGGCTAATTTTTGTGTTTTTAGTAGAGATAGGGTTTCACCATGTTGGCCAGGCTGGGCTGGTCTTAAACTCCTGACCTCTAGTGATCTTCCTTCCTTGGCATCCCTGAGTCTGGGATCACAAGCGTGAACCACGACATCTGACCTTCGAGTATCTTTTCATGTGCTTATTGGCCATTTGTATTTATATTCTTTGGGAAAATGTCTCTTGAAATCTTTTGCTCATCTTTTTTTTTTTGGACACAGGGTCTTACCTGCTAAGTAGTTGATACCACAGGCGTGTGCCACCCAACCTGGCCCAAGTTGGTCTCAAAATCCAAGCCCCTTAGATATCTGATTTACGAGTATTTTCTCCCATTCTGTGAGCTGTCGTTTCACTCTCTTTATGTTGTTTGATGCAGAAAAGTATTTCACTTTGATGAAGTACAATTTATTTTCTGTGTCACTTGTGCTTTTGATGTCATATCTAAAAAAAAACCATTGCTTGGTCCGCTTCGGTGGCTCACGCCTGTATCCCAGCACTTTGGGAGGCGGAGACAGGTGAATCACTTCAGGTCAGGAGTTCGAGGGCAGCCTGGCCAACATGGTGAAATCCTGCCTTTACAAAAATTAGCCAGGTATGGTGGATGCCTGTAATCCCAGCTACTGGGGAGGCTGAGGCAGGAGAATTGTTTGAACCTGGGAGGCGGAGGTTGCAGTGAGCCGAGATTGCACTGCAGTCCAGCCTGGGTGACAGAGCAAGACTGTCTTAAATAAATAAATAAATACATGGCCGGGCATGGTGGCTCATGCCTGTAATCCCAGCACTTCGGGAGGCTGCGGCAGGCAGATCACCTGAGGTCAGGAGTTCGAGACCAGCCTAACATGGTGAAACCCTGTTTTTATTAAAAATAGAAAAAACTGGACGGGCGCGGTGGCTCAAGCCTGTAATCCCAGCACTTTGGGAGGCCGAGGTGGGTGGATCACGAGGTCGACAGATCGAGACCATCCTGGTCAACATGGTGAAACCCCGTCTCTACTAAAATTACAAAAAATTAGCTGGGCATGGTGGCGTGTGCCTGTAATCCCAGCTACTCAGGAGGCTGAGGCAGGAGAATTGCCTGAACCCAGGAGGCGGAGGTTGCAGTGAGCCGAGATCGCGCCATTGCACTCCAGCCTGGGTAACAAGAGCGAAACTCCGTCTCAAAAAAAAAAAAAAAAAAAAAAAAATTGGCCGGGCGTGGTAGCTCACGCCTGTAATGCTAGCACTTTGGGAGGCCAAGGTGGGCAGATCACGAGGTTAAGAGATCGAGACCATCCTGGCCAACATGGTGAAACCCTGTCTCTATTAAAAAAAAAAAAAAAGTTAAAAAAATTTTAAAAAATTGCCTAACCAACCTCACAAAGATGTACCCATATGTTTTCTTCTAAGAGTTTGAGAATTGCCTTTGGAATGCAGTTCCCCACTCTGGGCACACCCCTGAGCAGGCCCCAGGCTATATCCATGGCCACAACCCTCCCCCCACACAGCTCCCACCCTACTCCCAAGCAAGGTGCTTACATTTCAGTCTTTCAGTTTCAAGCTTCCATGTAGGGTGGGCAGCTGTGGACAGGCATCAAGGCAGCAGTTGGGGCCGGCCTGCAGGTTTAAGATGCAGGTTGGCAAGAGAGGAGTGCCTGACTCCGGGAGCGAACTGAGGCCACGCCTCTGAAACAAGGGCTTCTGGGCTGAAGAAGCGCCTGCTGGGGCCAATAGCACAACCTACCTGGACAGCTGTGGCAGATTCTTAAGGGAGGAGCTGGGCCCACGGCTGGCCCTGCCACCATAGTCCAGCTCTCCACTGCTAGGAGCTGTTGCTTGTTACCTAGAAAAAGAGCCTGTAAAATTGACTCCCTGGTCACCACCAAACTTGTCTGTCTTTATCTCTACTTACACTGAGTGCCAAACCACCCTCTTGGAGACTGGTGATCAGAGGCTGATGACCTCTCACAGCTGCTGGCCCTGAGGACCTAGGAGATGCCTTTGGGAAACCCAGGTCAGCAGGGTGCCAGCTCCATTGCTCTGGCTGTGTGGGTGGTGGTGGGTAGTGGGGCGCATAGAAAGTCACCAAGGCCAAGGAAGGGCAGCTCAGAAATCCCGGTCATGCCAAGTGCCACTCAGGGCTATTCTCACTCTAGTGAGTACCCACTGGTTTTTCCCGAAGTCCAGAGAGAAGGACATCATAGGGGGCGCTGTATCCCACCCGGCGCCATCGGACCCTGCCACCCGCCACCCGGCAGCTGGATTCCTACGGGAGTTGCGGGCGGGGGCGGGGCCGGCTGAGGTCTGGGGGCGGAGCGTCCGGGCGGGGCGGGGCGCGGCGCGGGGCGGGCGGGAATGTGCGCACCCCAGCTCCTGGCTCCGACCGAGCATCCCGCGCCGACGGAGCTTTGCCGGAGCAGCGGTTCCGAGCTGCCGAAGCGTATCATGGCTGCTTTGAGACAGCCCCAGGTCGCGGAGCTGCTGGCCGAGGCCCGGCGAGCCTTCCGGGAGGAGTTCGGGGCCGAGCCTGAGCTGGCAGTGTCGGCGCCGGGCCGCGTCAACCTCATCGGGGAGCACACGGACTACAACCAGGGCCTAGTGCTGCCTATGGTGAGGGGCTGCGCGGGGAGCCCCCAGCCCGCCGCCGCCTGTCCCGGCCTCCGAGGAAGGCGAATCTCAGGGGTGCGGGGGGTGCGTTCTTCCCTCGTGGGATGTGGGGCGGGCAGCCGCGCCCGGGGCACCCGTGCACGGAAGAGCTACCGGGACGGGCTGTTCCCCACGTTGGAAGGGAGGAAGCGAGGAAGTGGCTGGGAGAGGGTGCGCAGCCGCCTCTTCGCTCAAGCCTGCCCTCTGGGGGCTGCGGGTCCTCGCCTTCAACCTGGGAGCGTGTTCCTTTTAAACCGTGAGGCCCTGTGTGCCACGCAGAAGGGGACAATCCACGCCTCTGGCCACCGTAGGACCCCAACCGCAGACCTGGGCAAACGTAGCCTTCTGGCCCGGCCCATTCGATTTACAGAGGAGGAAACTGAGGCCCGTAGAGGCTCAGTGAACTGCTGGAGGTCACACAGCAGGTTCTTGGTGGGTCTGCGACTCGGGAGTGAGGACTCCCGGCTTTCAGCGTGGGGCGCTTTCCGCCCATCTGCAGCTTGGGGAATGCACAGGTACAGGGTGTCCAGGGCCACTCCAAAATGGAAAGGCTTTGGAGCTCCTGTGATCTGTTTTCCCTTTGGGCTGGCTCTTCCCCCTTGCCCCACAGCTCAGGGCAGAGTCCAGGTCTGTGCTCCATCTGCAGCCGCCCCGCCCCTCAAGACCCAGGCGGGCAGGGCCCAAGCCCCCAAGGCCGGCTGACCCTCAGGCTCTTCCCTGCAAAGCTGAACCTACAGGTTCAGAGCCTGATGACTGGCTGGGCATGGAGGCTCACGCCTGTAATCCCAGTAGTTTGGGAGGCCGAGGCGGGCAGATCACCTGAGGTCAGGCGTTCAAGACCAGCCTGGTCAACATGGTGAAACCCTATCTCTACTAAAAATACAAAAAATCAGCACCTCTAATCCTAGCTACTCGGGAGTCTGAGGCAGGAGAATCACTTGAACCCGGGAGGTGGAGGTTGCAGTGGGCCAAGACTGTGCCATTGCACTCAAGCCTGGGCGACAGAACGAAACTGTTTCAAAAAAAAAAAAAAAAAAAGCCTGATGACTCTGGAGGCATCAGAACTTCAGCTGGAGGTGGTATCATTGGAGAGGCTTACTCCATCAGCCAGTGGAAGCCTCACCTATTCCTTGTCTCTCCTGTCAGGCCCTGGAGCTCGTGACCGTGCTGGTGGGCAGCCCCCGCGAGGATGGGCTGGTGTCTCTCCTCACCACTTCTGCAGATGCTGATGAGCCCCAGCGGCTGCAGTTTCCGCTGCCCACAGCCCAGCGCTCTCTGGAGCCTGGAACCCCTCAGTGGGCCAACTATGTCAAGGGAGTGATTCAGTACTACCCAGGTATGGGGCCCAGGACTGAGCCAGGTTCTCACTGATACTAGGAGTGCCACCTCACAGCCACAGCTTGTCCAGTACACTGTGGGGAAGGCTTGAAGAGTGGAGGATCCCATTGTATGGATGAGGAAACTGATGCCCCCAGAGGGTCTCGAACGCACCCTGGGTTTCCATGATCTGATTGGAGGAGGCAGGATTCAAACCCCAGCCTTTTTTCCCTCCAGAGCCCTCAACCAGGAAGACAATTAGAACTGTCCCAGCAACCTCAGAGGGTGGGAAAATGGAGGGCAGTGGGTCCCTTGGCCCAGCAGGTTGGTGCCCTCTTTGACAACTGAGACACACGCCCTAGAAACAGTTGCCAGACTGTTGCTGCCCTTCCCACCAGGGCACATGCCCTTGCCGTGCCCATCCTCACAGGCAGCCCCTTTTACCATTACCCATTCTTTCCCCTGCAGCTGCCCCCCTCCCTGGCTTCAGTGCAGTGCTGGTCAGCTCAGTGCCCCTGGGGGGTGGCCTCTCCAGCTCAGCATCCTTGGAAGTGGCCATGTACACCTTTCTCCAGCAGCTACGTCCAGGTACCACCTAGGCCCCAGCCCTGACCCAGCCCTCCTTTCCTGAGGTCTCCAGATGGTCCAAGTTTCTACTATGGCTTATGGAGGGGGTGGTGGGGAATCTCTCTGGAGTGTCATCAGTGCCACTGCTGCTCCCATCAGCCCTAGCCTTCCCACCTCACTGTTCTGCAGACTCAGGCACCGTGGCTGCCCGTGCCCAGGTGTGTCAGCGGGCCGAGCACAGCTTCGCAGGGGTTCCCTGTGGCATCATGGACCAGCTCATCTCACTGATGGGGCAGAGAGGCCACGCGCTGCTCATTGACTGCAGGTGGGACTTGCTTTCCTCGCCCCCTCCCACCTGCACTCAGGAGCTCCTGGGTAGCGTGCCCACTGCCTGGTGCGGCAAGCACACACTTGGCCTCGTCATCTCCCCAACTGTAACTCCACCCCAGGTCCTTGGAGACAAGCCTGGTGCCACTCTCGGACCCCAAGCTGGCCGTGCTCATCACCAACTCCAACGTCCACCACTCCCTGAGCTCCAGCGAGTACCATGTGCGGCGGCGCCAGTGTGAGGAAGTGGCCCGGGCGCTGGGCAAGGAAAGCCTCCGGGAGGTGCAGATGGAAGAGCTGGAGGGTGAGAACTGGCTGGGGCGCTCTGTCCTGGAGGCGGCTGCACTCCCTGCTGGCGCCTCAGTGTGGCCTGGATCCTGCCCAGGACCCCGATCTCCAGGGCCTTCTGCCATGCTCTGTCCAGTCCCTCCAAACACTGCAAAGCAAACCCAGGGCTCCAGCCTCAGCAGGGCTGCTTGAAATCCTGCAATGGTCTTATCTAATCAGAGAATCATGTTTCCATTGTGGAAAATGTGGAAAGTACAGAGCAGAAAATAAGCTATAAAAGTGCTGGGATTAGAGGCATGAGCTACTGCACCCGGCCTTGTTTTTTTTTTAGTAGACGGGGTTTCACTATATTGGCCAGGCTGGTTTTGGACTTCTGACCTCAAGTGATCTGCCTGCCTCATCCTCCCAAAGTGCTAGGATTACAGGTACAGGTGTGAGCCACCACGCCCGGCCTATCTGCATTCTTTTAATATTTTCTTAGGAATGGATTCTTAGGAGTAGGATTCCAGAGTCGAGACAAGTATTCTAGGCTGCATGCGGTGGCTCACACCTGTGTCTGTAATCCTGGCACTTTGGGAGGCCAAGGTGGGAAGAATCACTGAGCTCAGGAATTTGAGACCAGCCTGGGCAACAAGGCAAAACACCATCTCTTAAAAAATACAAAAATTAGCCAGGCGTGGTGGTGTGTGCCTGTAGTCCCAGCTACTTAGAGGCTACTTTGAGCCCAGGAGGTAGAAGCTGCAATGAGCTGTGATTGTACCACTCCCCTCTAGCCTGGGCCACAGAGTGAGACCCTGTCGAAAGAACGAAAGAAAGAAAAAGGAAGGAAGGAAGGAAGGAAGGAGAAAGAAGAAAGAAAGAAAGAAAGGAAAGAGAGAGAGAGAAAGAAAGAAAGAAAAGAAAGAGAAAGAAAAGAAAGAGAAAGAAAAGAAAGAAAGAAAGAAAGAAAGAAAAAGAAAAAGATCCTTAAGGCTTCTGCCATTATTGGACCAGGAAGGTAATCTGTTGGACAGTTTTAAGGTCATATCGATATTAACTCATTTAATTCCCCCAAAACTCTAAAGCACATTCTGTTACCATAATTCTTAATGTTTTTGATGGGGGAATCTACAGTGAGAGGCAGTGCTGGGATCTGAACCCTGTCTGGACAGATTAGTTCCAGGCCTCACACTCTTGACTGCCTGGCTGTGCTGCCCACCCTGAGTTGCCCCTTCCTGGCAGTGTAGGTGTGTCCATCTCCGGGACAGTAGACCGCTCCGAGGGACCACCCTGTCCTTTTCCTTTGTGAACTGTCATGTTCTCCAAAACAGCACTCAGACCTACCCTGCCTGCTCTGTGCAGATGACCTTGGCCAAGGTTTTCACACTGGAACAAGTCAGTCCCTCCTCCCCACCCCAGCCTGTCCTTGCTGCCCCTCCTCCAGGTCTCCTGCCTTGGAGCAACTCACCCTGCCTCCTCCAGAGTCCTGCCCTAGAAGCCCCAGTCCCTCTCCTTCCGTCCCCTGCTTGGCTCCTTCCCTCAGCCTCCAAGACACGCTCAATTTTCCTCCCTCCTAAAACACCGCCCACTATCTCATTTCCATTCATTTCATTTTTCTTTGTTTTCTATGAGAGGGAGTCTCTATTGCCCAGGCTGGAGTGCAGTGGCATGATCTCTGCTCACTGCAACCTCTGCCTCCCAGGTTCAAGCGATTCTCCTGCCTCAGCCTCCCTCCTGAATAGCTGGGATTACAGGCGCCTGCCACTATGCCCGGCTAATTTTTTTTTTTTTTTTTTTGAGACGGAGTTTCACTCATGTTACCCAGGCTGGAGTGCAATGGTGCGATCTCGGCTCACCGCAACCTCCGCCTCCTGGGTTCAGGCAGTTCTCCTGCCTCAGCCTCCTGAGTAGCTGGGATTACAGGCACGCGCCACCATGCCCAGCTAATTTTTTGTAGTTTTAGTAGAGACGGGGTTTCACCATGTTGACCAGGATGGTCTCGATCTCTTGACCTCGTGATCCACCCGCCTTGGCCTCCCAAAGTACTGGGATTACAGGCTTGAGCCACCGCGCCTGGCCTGCCCGGCTAATTTTTGTATTTTCAGTAGAGACGGGGTTTCCCCATGTTGGCCAGGCTGGTGTCGAGCTCCTGACCTCAAGTGATCCGACTGCTCAGCCTCCCAAAGTGCTGGGATTACAGGCGTGAGCCACCGAACCCCTTTCTTAGTCCTTTGAATCTACTTGCCCCTCCATCCGGCCATGCCACCTGCCCTAACAACCTTCCCCCTTAAACCTGCGTGTTTGGCCAGGCACGGTACCGAGTCAGTACTTGTACTGACCCAGTACTTGTACTGACCCAGGTGCCCCTCCAGCCTCATCTCCAGCCAGACGGGACAGCCTGCTGGTCCCGGCTGCTCCTGCCCCCTCTTTGGAGCCCCAGCCCTTGAGGCTCCACGTGGCTCAGCAGAATTTCTCCCCCTGCTCTGTGGTAGCCTCTTGAGGGCAGCACTCACCTTGGAGAACAGAGAGTTTCCACCGTCACTGCGCCCTGAAGGACCAAGGTGTCCCAATTTATAGTCGGGGAGGAGGCGCTGTGATGAGGGGGCTCTTCAGACCCATGCCCAAGAGAGCCAGGCTGCCCCGACCCCCTCGGCCTCCCACCCTTCACTGTTGAGCGCCCTGGCAGGGCCACTGCCATTACTGCCTGCCAGCCCCCACAGGCGTCGGGGCCCCAGGCAGTGGGAGGGTGGCTGCTGACTCCTTTTTCCTCCCCAGCTGCCAGGGACCTGGTGAGCAAGGAGGGCTTCCGGCGGGCCCGCCACGTGGTGGGGGAGATTCGGCGCACAGCCCAGGCAGCAGCCGCCCTGAAGCGCGGGGACTACAGAGGCTTCGGCCGCCTCATGGTGGAGAGCCACCGCTCGCTCAGGTGAGGCCCTCTGGGCGCCCCACTCCTGCTGGGCCCAGGCTGGCCCAGGCCCACCCCTCGGACATCTTCTCTGCAGAGACGACTACCAGGTGAGCTGCCCGGAGCTGGACCAGCTGGTGGAGGCCGCGCTCGCTGTGCCTGGGGTTTATGGCAGCCGCATGACGGGCGGTGGCTTTGGTGGATGCACGGTGACACTGCTGGAGGCCTCATCTACTCCCCAGGCCATGCAGCATATCCAGGTGGGCAGGTACTGGGGCCTGGGTGGGCAGGAGCGGTGGCTTCCCAGGGCCCTGCCACTCACCCCTGGCCTGCCTCTCTCAGGAGCAGTACAGCGGGACCGCCACCTTCTACCTCTCTCAAGCAGCCGATGGAGCCAAGGTGCTGCCCTTGTGAGGTGCCCCCAGGACCGCACGCAGTGGGGATGCAGGGCCTGCAGGCCAGTCCCACAGCTCTGTGCTAGTGCCACCTTCCATATCTGGGTGCTCAATAAACTTGTGCCTCCAGCGTGGAACCTGCCTGCCTCTAGAGGTGGGTGTCTGCTTGGGCGTCAGAGAAGGAGGGTGTCAGGACAGCTCCCCTACCCTAGGGGAGCACCTCTCAGGCCGCAGAAGAAAGGGCAAGGCAGGGCCTCGCAGTAGCAAAACCTTTTATTAAGTGCAGAACAAAGGCTGGGTCTCTGTGCTGCTCCCAGCTCTTTGGTTACAAATAGGTTTGGGCCCAGAGAGGAAGGACCTTGCCCACCTCATGCCTCCCAGAGGACACCTGGCACCTGCTCTGTGCATGCAGGTGGGCTGGGCAGGCCCCCAGGGGTGCAAGGATGGAGTAGCTGAGGAGGCTCTGGGAGAGGAGCAGGGAGGAGGCCTGGATTCCAGGACATAGCAGGGGTGGGGTGGGGTGGGGTGAGGGGGGTCAGGTTTGGAAGAACTGTTGGTCCACCTGGCTGCTGAGGGTTCCACTGGTGGTCAGTGTCCGGCTCACAAACTCCTGGGTCACATGGCGGGTGAGGGAGCCACCTGCCTCCAGGTGCTGGGCCCCCAGGGTCAGTCCGTCTGTGGAGGAGGTGGCAATGGCTGACCCGCCTGGGGTCTGCCCCTCTCCCTCTGCTAACTCCCTGTCCCGGCAGAGCCGGGACCCCCGGCCCTCAGCGCTCACCCATTAGGAAGGGCTCCATGGCACTGGTGTGGGTGGTGGTGATGCTGCTGTACTCGCCTTGCAGTGGGTGCTGGAAGAGCCCGACGTGGCTGCCTAGCTGTGGGAAGGGGCCTGGGGTGGGCAGATCGGCCGGTCAGAGGGTGGTGCCAGGAGAAGCCACGGCCTGAGGATGGATTGGGGGTGAAGGAAGGGACAGGTGCCCACCTCCGTCCTGGGACTCGATGGTGATGATGCCCTCACGCTCTGGCCCGAAGCCCTCGGTGGTCCTGGCCTGCACCTTGAACTTGTAGGGCACATTCTCACTGAGGCCCGGCACGGTCAGCCGGCTCTCAGGGCTGTCTCCGTCCACCCGAAATGTAGTGGCTGTCCCTGAGCAGGGAAGATGCCTTCAGCCTCTGCAGGCCCCTCTCTACCCCTGCCCTGGCCACCCCTGTCCCCAGGGGCGGGCAGCACCTCCTCCTTGGGCCATCTCACAGGTCACCAGGTAGCCGACAATATCCCCATTGGGCCTCCGTGGCCGCTCCCAGCTCAGCTGCAGCGAGTCTGGGCTCAGGGCGGTGAACACCAGCGGGCCTGGGGCACTGGGGGTGCTCAAAGTGAAGGCAGAGCCTGGGGGCAGCAGAGGAAGAACATCAGCGTGTGGGTGGGTGGCGGGCATGATGGGGGCAGTGTGGGGCTGGGGGAGGCAACTCACCTGGCAGGGGACAGAGTGGGCTCTGCGGGTGCACCTGGGACTCAATGGTGATGACGCCCTCACGCTCTCGGCCCCAGCCCTCCTGGCTCTGGGCCCGCACGCGGAACACGTAGGAGTGGTTGGGCAGGAGGTCTTCCACCACCACCGACGTTTGGGCAGGGTTGGGGATGTTGAGCCGATGCACCTCACCTGGGGGGTCATGTGGGGACAGGCAGCAGTGCAGTGTTACTCCCACCCCTGGCCTGATCCCCCTCTTCCCTCAGTTGCCACGGAGACCTAGTTATCACCCACCCTGGACTGGCTGTGGTTTGGGTACAGGTTGGGTACAGTATGGCATGGCTGGTTGTTCAGGTTGTATACTATATAAGAGTGGAGCCTGGAATCCCACTCATGTTTGGGCAAAATCCCGGTCATGCTGCTTTTAATGTGCCTCCCCAGGGAAGTGGCACTTCCTCATTCCCCCAAAGGCATCTCAGGCCAGCAGAGGCCCTAGGATCTCAGGCCAAAGTGGCCTTGTTATGCAAACATAGCAGAGAATGACCCGGAGAGAGGTTGGGGGGCGGGGCGGTGAGACCTAAGAGGGGTGGGGAATGAGGTGAGACCCTCTCAGGCTGGATGGGGCCTTTTAGAGCTCAAGGGACTTGGGTGGGTTCCTGACACAGCCAAGGTGCCCCGTGTGTCATGCTGGGGCCAGGGCTGTGCCTCACCGCCATTCAGCAGCTGGTACTCCACGCTGTAGCCCTGCAGTGCGTGCTCACACCGTGGCTCCTGCCAGCTCACTCTGAGAGATGTGGGCCCCAGGGCAGAGAACACCAGGCGGGTGGGTGTGTCAGGCACACCAGCAGTCGGGCGAGCGTCTGGGGACAGGAGGCCACAGTCAGCAAGAGATGCAGGGACTGGGGTCTCAGTGGGAGTCACAGTGCTGCCCCCGGCCTCCCTCCCTCGGCTGGCATGTCTACACTGACCGCTGGCTGGACAACTCACTCACCCTGCAACACCCTGTCCAGGCTGCCCAGCACCTCCTGCACGTCCTCCAGGAGGGTATGGGACCTCGTCTGTGCTAAGAGAGCGTGAGCCCTGTGTGTCTGCCAACCACACCCCTCACCTCAGCTGGCCTGGCCCCTAGCCTGCCCCAGCCCCAGCCCCAGCCCCAGCCCCGCCCCCTGGAAGGGCAGAGGCAGTGTTAGGCATCAGCACTGATGGTGGGGCAGGTGGTTAGCGCCTGTGGGCAGGCAGGGGTCCTGTGGATGAAATGGAGAGGAAGCGGTGGGCACAGCTGGCGGCTGCTATGGTGGCTGGATGGCAGATGGAGCAGGACAGCGGTGGAGACAGGATGGCCACCCCTGTACTACCTGGGCCCCAGGAGGGCGCTGCTGGCTTCCCAGCCAGGATTATAGAGTCTCGTGGGCCCCTGGAAGAGGGTAACCCTTTCATCTGAGCCCGACTCCGGGACCCCAGGGCCCAGGACAGCGGAAGCCTGCTCCTCCCGTATTCCCAGATGGGAGGGAGGCCTAGGGTGGGACAAAACAAGAGTGAGAGGAGCAGGGAGCGTGCATGCCTGTGTGCCTGTGTGTGCATGCCTGCGTGCCTGTGTGTGCATGCCTGCGTGCCTGTGTGTGCATGCCTGTGTGTGCATGCCTGTGTGTGCATGCCTGTGTGCATGCCTGTGTGTGCATGCCTGTGTGCCTGTGTGTGCATGCCTGTGTGCATGCCTGTGTGTGCATGCCTGTGTGCCTGCCTGTGTGTGCATGCCTGTGTGTGCATGCCTGTGTGCATGCCTGTGTGTGCATGCCTGTGTGTGCATGCCTGTGTGCCTGTGTGTGCATGCCTGTGTGCCTGTGTGTGCATGCCTGTGTGCATGCCTGTGTGTGTGTATGCATGTGTGTGCATGTCAGCATAGATGTGTGTGCGTGCATGCGTGTGTGTGTGTGTGTGTGTGTGTGTGTGTGTGTGTTGGAGGATGGGCCGTGGGGACAGCAGGCCAAAGCCCGATGCTCCAGGAGCTGGAAGAGACGGATTAGTGGGAGAGGCAGGGTTGGCTGAGGTCACTCACCGTGGGAGGAGACAGAGGTGAGGGTGGAGTAGTCCCTGGGCAATGTGGCCGAGTGTGAGTGCTCCGAGCGGGTCAGTGAGTGGTAGTCCCGTGTGAGGGTGGAGGACGTGCTTAGCACGCGGTGGGGCAGGTGTGGGCTCAGGTGGGTGCCATAGGCAGCACTGGACGTGGTCATCCTGTTCAGGGAGTTGGCGCTGCCCGGGAAGGCAAAGTCCATCCGGCCATTCATCAGGTGCTCTGCGGGCAGAGAGCAGGGTCACTTGCTCAGGCCTAGTGGACATGGGCCCTGCAGGGCAGGCTGGGCCCTGGGCATTCCTGGTCACCTACCCTCTGGGTGGCTTTTGCTTAAATACAACCAGTTTCCCTCAAACCACTAGGGACAGAGGCCCTATGTCCCTGGAGGAGCCCAAGGGCCACCCAGGCTTCCACAGCCTGTGTCCTCTGGCGGCCACTATATGGGTGAGAGCTGACCCTGGCGGTGGCGGGGGATTTGCTGCCCCGGCAGTCAGCCCTGCCCTGGGGAGGTCCTGAAGCCTTCCCTCCTGTCCTTTGAGGGCCCTGAGGGGTCTACTTGGGTGCCAGGGTCGGCTGGACAGACTTCTGAATTTGCACCCCCTGGGCAGGCAGGCACCATAAGGGCCCAAGCGTCTGCTTCGGGCGTCCCCTGGCACTGGGCCCTGCCTCTGAGCTGCTGTGGCCCCAGTGGCCAAGGCCCCAGCCTGGCTGAAACACCCGGGGCAGCACAGACGCCCACCCCAGGCCCCCAGACCCTCCGGCGCTAGTGAGTCTGGGTGGGCGCGGACCAGGGTGTGGCGGGTGAACCCTGTCACCTCCGAGGGGCCCCGGTGTCGCAACGCGGGGCAGGCTGCCGCCCTTCCCGCCCGCGCCGCCGTCATCCGGGGGCCCGTAAGGCGCCTCGGCGTCGGAGGAGCGCCCGCTGCTGGCCGACAGGCGCGGGATGAGCTCCGGGGGCAGCCGCCACGTGATGCGACGCAGGTCCAGCTCCTCCCCCAGCAGAGGCTCGAACTTCCAGCCGCAGCCTTGGGAACAACGAAGGGCCGCGTTGGCACCGCCTGGGGGCGCTGGGCCGAGCAGGGCCAAGTGGGGGAAGGCCAGAGACGCTGCAAAGGGAGCCCGTCTCCGGCTCCCGGGATCCCTGGGTGAGTGATGGGGGCGGGGGTAGATGCGCACGGCCCGGCGGGCCGCGAAGCCCCGCGGCAGGTGAGACCCTTGCACGGCGGGAGCCTTTCCAGATGAGCGAGTGTAACCTTGGCACAGCTGGGGAGGAGAGACCCCTGGACCTGCCAGGAGACCTGGGGGAAGCCTAGGCTCTGTCACCAGTTGTGAGGTCTCCCTTGCCTTACTTAACCTCTCCGAGACTCAGTTTCCCGTCTGTACAATGGAGGGAGGAATCTCGCCCCTGCCTGCCTCCCAGGGACCGTTCTGCAAGCCACCCAGTGCTTCGAAGATAGTGTTAGAAGCAGCTGAGCTGGGGTTCCAGAGTCATACCAGCTGCGCTCCACCTGAGCCTCTCAAAACGGCTCCTTAAGCCCAAGCTCAGCTCCGTGGGGCCAGTATGTGTTCATGGGGTGGGGCAGGTGTGGAAGCATAGGCAG